ATTTATGTAACACTATTAAAGCATGGATATCTCCGTGAGGACTAAGGTGCGCCTGACACAAGCCATGATATTTCCAATCGCCTCGTATGCATGTGAGAGCTGGACAATGAATAAGGAAGACCGAAGAAGAGTTGATGCTTTTGAGTTGTGGTGCTGGCGAAGAATGCTGAAAGTACCATGGACTACTAAAACAACTAACAGATCTGTCCTGGAGGAAGTGCAGCCAGAATGCTCCTTGGAAGCAAGAATGGCCAGACTTCCTCTCACCTATTTTGGTCATGTTGTAAGAAGGACCATTCCCTGGAGAAGGATGTCATGCTTGGTAGGGTGGAGGGTCAACGAAAGAGGGGGAGGCCTTCAACGAGATGGATTGACACGGTGGCTGCAATGATGGGCTCAAGTATAGCAGGGATTGTGGGGCTGGCGTGGGATCGGGCAGTGTTTCGTTCTGCTGTGCATGGGGTCGCTATGAGTCGGAAACGACACGACGGCACTTAACAACAACAACATTAAAGCATGACTTATATCGAAAAAGCAGAAACAATATGAATGTCTATCAATACGGACCTTAACATCCAAGAGTTAGAATGTGTTGTAGTCACGAAAAGTGATTAATATGAAGTCATTTAATGACATGGAAAAATACTCAAGACAATACAAAGTACAAAAAACAGATACAAAACTGCAAATATGTATGTTATCTTAAACTGTGAAGGAAATAAATACAGTTTGAAAAAATATCTCAAAATTTTGATGTTATCTGCATAGAGGAATTACAAATTATTTTTATTTTCATGCTTATATTTTGCTGGGTTTTTTTTCTTTTTAACAAAAAAGCATGTTTTGCAATTATAATTGAAAAGAAACAAAACTTAAGAAAATCTAATGCACCACTGCAATCTGTCCTGTAAGATCACTATTAAGTCCAGAATCGACTTGACAGCAGTGGGTTTGGTTTTGGTTTTGGTGTCCCTCCTGTAATCAAGTCTCTTTTCTGAGATACTTTTTTTTGACCTCACTACTCAGGCGTGTCACAGGCTGCTCAAATTCAGCATGTACAAAATTGAACATGTCATCTTTGTCCTACCCCATCCCAAACCTGATCCTCCTCCTTCAGTAAACATTTTATTTGATAAACCAAAAACTCGCTGCTATCGAGTCGATTCTGGCTCCTAGCGACCCCCTTTGGGTTTCCAAGGCAGTAAATCTTTACAGAATTAGATTGTTCAGTCTTCCTTCCGCAGAGTGGCTGGGGGTTTGAACCACCAGCCTTCTAGTTAGCAGTCAAATGTCTTAGGCACTATGCCACTAGAGCTCCTTAGGTAACATCTAAAAACCAGAACCATCTTAAGACTTCTTCTCACCTCATGTCCAATTAGCTAACAAGTACTGATGATTCTACTTCTAAATACTTTTTTCTTTGGTCCTCTTCATTGTCACATTTTTTGTTTAGACTCAGAGTCTCACTATCTCTTGCCTGATGTCTTCATAATCTAGTGCTGCTATAAAAGAAATACCACAAATGGCTGGCTTTAATAAACAAATTTATTTTCTCACAGTTTAGGAGGCTAAAAATCCAATTTCAACATACTGGCTCTAAGGAAAGGCTTTTTCTCTCTGTCAGCTCTGGAGAAAAGTCCTTGTCTCTTTAAGCTTCTGCTTCTGAGTACTCTTCATGTGGTCTGGCATCTCTCTTGCCCCATCTCTGCTTGACTGTTTAATTATTTAATCCTTTCTATATTTCAAAAAAGACTGACTCAACATACACCCTACAATAATCCTGCCTCCTAACCAAAGACAACCTATTCCCAAATGAGATTATAACCACAGACTTAGAGATTAGGATTTTGAGGAACAGTGAATTACTTAGTATGACTCTTCTGGCCATGGTCTTTATGGGACTATGTAAATGTGAGGTGCCTGTGAAACCATTAAGGGGATCGGACAGATTGCTAATAACATAAATAAGATACATGGCACCCTTGTGTGGGTTGTTGCTGTTGTTATTATGTGTTGTCAGAGTCATCTCCGACTCACAGCAACCCCTCCTTGGGTTTTCCAGGTGGTATCACTATGGAAGTAGATTGCTCAACCTTCCTTCCAAGGAGTGGCTGGTAGGTTTGAACCACCAACCTTCTGGTTAGCAGTCAAGTGTTGGTAGGACCATGCAAATAATATGTATGGAATCCTAATATGAGGACAGGTCAGTTTTGTCATTCTGCTAGGCTTAAAATGACTCATCCCAGAGACAGAAAAGGGAGATCTCACTGCCATCAAGAAAGAACCAGGAGTGAAGCCTGTCCTTGGACCTGAAATCTCTGCACTGGCCCTCGTTGGCAGAGAGATGACAGAGAGATGGTGGCAGCACAGGCAGCAGAACCAAGAGACTGGCACAAGATAGACTGTCAGGCTTGCTGGTCCACAGAGCAAGAAAGCTGAGTACCTTTGGGCAGGATGCTTGCTGGGAGTGGGGTGCACTTACAGGCACAGCTAAAACAGCTTTGTAACACTTGACCCATCAGGGTAGAGGCCAGGCTGAGAGAGGCATGCCTATGGGCATGATGACTGTGGGGAGGCTGTCCTGATCAAAGTAGTCTATCCTGGGCATTCCTGAACTAAATTGTTAACTACTACTTCCCTAACACACCTCACAATCATGAAAAAAAAAAAAAAGTTGCAAGCAGCAATCTAAGATACAACTATTAGACTTTACTCACAGATAGAGCAAAAGAGAAGGAAGGAAATGAAAAGCTCAGAGAAAAAACTAATCCATGGGATTAACAGTCCTTAACAGCCCAGAAGAACCACAGCCTTATTTAACCTGAAATTTAGAAAAACTAGATGGTGCCCAGCTACCGCTGACATTGACCAGGGATACAACAGAAAGTCCCACATGGAATGGAACGAAAACAAGAACAAAACTCAAATTCCTAAAAAGGGTCAGACCTACTTGATTGACAGAGACTAGAAGAACCCCTGAGACTACTACCCTAAGATAACCTTTGAATATGGAACTGAAGTTATTTCTGCAGGTCACCTTTCAGCCAAATACGATTGGCTTAAAATGAAAAACAGCACCTATGACTAACGTACTACCTTAAACTATGAGACCAAACAATCAACATTTACCCACAAGCAAAGGTGCAAAGGCAAGGAGTTGAAGGAGGGAAGCTAGATCAATGGAAATCCAACAAACAGAATGGAAATGAGAATGCTAATACAATGTAAAAACTTTAACCAAAACTGCATAAAAATTAGGAGCTCTGGTAGCCTAGTGGCTAAGGCACTTGATTGCTAACCAGAAGGCTGGCAGTTCAAACCCACCAGCCACTCAACGGAAGGAAGATGGGGCAATCAATCTATTTCCGTAGTGATACTGCCTTGGAAACCCAAGGAGGGGTTGCTATGAGTCAGGTCCGACTTGATGGCACATAACAACAACAGCAGCATAAAAACTTAAAGGGAAACATATTTTGCTGTGTAAAACTTTCACCGAAGACAATTTTAAAAAAAGAATTTTAGTCTAATAGGTTATGAAATACCTAGTAATTTTTTTATATATATTTCTTGACCTGATAAGTGTCAGCTAACCAAAAAAAAAAAAAAACTATTCCACATAAACACTATTAAAGTAATAAAATAAGCATGGACAATAATATACTTAAAAATTCAAAGCACCATTAGGGAAAACTTCATTAGGATTATTTATTATTATTCATAAATGCCCTTGGATTTTCTTGGTCAGTTAATAAACATATTTCTTAAAGGCTTGATATATTGTTGCTAAAAAAGCAGGTAAGATAATGAGCTAGATAAACTCCTGTAATCAACTATGTTCTTTTTAGCTTCAGGCTTAATGTAGTAATACTGAAATGACTCACTCTAATATGAAATCACTATGCCATATAGCCCTTCTCCTAAACAGAATTAGGAAACTGTTGGGTATGAATGACAATTTTAATGTTGTGACAACACATGCAAAAGGCAAGTGGCTGGTCATATTTATCTTAGCAACAGAGTTAAATTTTAATATCATTCACTAAAAAAACACATGATTTAGTATGACTGCTTCCAAAAAGAGATAAAATAAGCAGCCATTTAATTTCTTCCATTTTACACTAGATCAAAAGTTTCTCTTTGGAAAGACTAGTTTCTTGAACTAGTTTAACAGTTAATTTTCTTTTAAGTGAACCATATGTATGTAACACAGGAGAAAAATAACGTTGAACACCTCAGTCACCATACATTATTCCCTACAACTACAAAAACCAAGTAACAGCTCAGTCCCTATTTCAGTCTCCTTCCCGTGTTAAAAAAAAAAAAAAAAAAGTGTAACGCCAAGTAAGGGTTTAAAAAGGAAAAGCGAATATAGATAACAGCAGGCAATCCATGAAGGGTCAAGGAAGTTATTATTTACTAAATGAAAAGTAATAGGCGTCTGAAGGTGGTATCCAGTTATTTTCACAAGTACCTTTAGGAAAGTCAACTAGATCAACGCAGAGAAAAGCACAACGTTCGGGTTCACACTGAGGAAAAAAAAAAAAAACTCTTTCGAAAAAACTTTACTGCTGGGATCGATGTTTTCTTGACTATGCACTAACCAGAGATCTCTGCCATGTGGATCTATTAAGGCTGTGCTATATTTCCAAATCTTAGAAAATCAACTTGGCATCCCAAATTCTAAAGGGCGGGGCAGGGCAAGGGTTTACCTCAGAACTGGCAGAAGTTAATGGTTCTAGGAGAGAGTAAAAAGCCACCCATCAATTCCCGCCGGTCTCCTTCCAAGAGATGCTACACCCCCACCTCGCCCTAGACTCGGGTTTTGGCCCTCAGGCCCAGAGGGCTGGGTGGATTGGGGCTTCTCCCCGTTACCCCATCTAGACCGGGAACCTATGGGATCAGAAACTGTAACTACCCTCCGATACCCCCACTATTGCCAGAGGCGGCCTCTCGCGGCACCCCAGGCCTCCCACCCGCAGGGATGCCCCAGTCCTGCTCACCAGCTCGGGTGGTGTCCGTCAGGTCGTGGTTGGCCGCTCCACGGGGAAACTCCCTCAGTTTCCGGCCGCTCAAGCTCAATACTCCGGTTACTGCCGCCTCTTCCAGGGCTCGATCGAGGGAACGGCTCCATGAGCCGGGGCCGGGACCAGGACACGCCCCAGAGCTTGGGCCGCTGTTATTGCCGGAGAAGTTACCTCCCGATGCTACGGGGCCAGAGTACTCGGCGGCGGTGGCCACAGCGACTACACCAGCAGCCGCCATTTCCCAGCCGACAACTCTCGGCCCAGCGCCTCGGCGCATGCGTGGCCAGAAGTGATGGGTGGGCGGAGATAGGGGCACACAGACCCCGGACCATTCCCGTGTCGGGCAAGGCAGAGGTGCGTGCCCCACCTCACAACGTGGACGCTCGGTTCGACGTGAAAATTTTCAAGAAAAATTAAAATGAAACTCACAAATTTGGGGCAGTCTTTCATTGTAGACTCCCAGTAAACTACTTCTGCTAAAATACTTTTCAGCTCAAGACAGTGCTCATCAAAACTTTCTGCCTGCATTAAGGCTTCTTGACACAGTTGCTGCCGGAAAATTGGTGTGGAAAGTGAGAAGTTACCCTGAAATACTACCTAACATGTTTCCCTGCTTTTGCTATTTCATAACCAAATGACCTAAATCGAGATTTGTGGGTTAACTATTCCCTGAAGGAAGTTAAGTGCTAATTTGTCTCCCAAATTCCCTAATTCTCACTAAGAGGTTATTTAAATATTTTAGACCTTTCTTCTCTTTTGTAAAATAGTTCTTGATGATAATAAATGCAACATTTTAAGTAGGATGTGTCCCTTAGGGAAGGTTTTATTGTTGAACAAAGCGTGATGAACAGTATTAAAGTTTAAAAGTTTGGTCTGGAACCAAAATTGAGGAAGGGAAAATGATCTAAGCATAATCTAAATGTAGGAATTAAAAGTAGAACCAAAGAAATGGTCAAAATTGAAAAAGTAGAACACAGACTTCAACCCTTTCAAAACAATTTTCTTCTCTGAATTTTTTTGTTGAAACCAAGTGTTTTCAGTAATGGAAAGAATTTTGAATGAAATGAAAAAAATATGTATTTTTGAGGTAATAGGGATTTTGATACAACTAGTGAGACACATGTATCCTAAGGGCTCTCTGGTACTAGTTGGTGAGATGGGACCCGTTTCTTCAGATCCATGAAATTATACAGCGCACACTGAAAGTGGAATGAAAGCTTCCCACTAAAACCCAGGAGCAGAAAATGTAAGTGGGCACAGTAACATTGTTCTACATCCTACTTTGTTATAGCACCTGGGGTCTTAAAAGCTTGCAAGCAGCGCAAGCAGTGTTTGAGATATAACAATTGGTCTCTCCTCTTGGGAGCAAACGATGAAGAAAACCAAAGATGGATGTAAACAATTGAGTCCAAAAGACTAGTGGACCACGCGAACCTCAGCCTACATGACCTTGAGACCAGAAGAACTAGATGGTGCCTGGCTACCACTGTCAACCACTTGGAAAGAGATTAGTGTAGGAGATCCTGGGATAGTGCAAGAGAAAAATGTAGAGCAAAATTCAAAATCATGAAAAAGAAAAAAAAGACAAGGCTGACTGGTCTGATAGAGACTGGTGAAACCTGAGACTATGGCCGAGTCACCCTTTGGGCCTGGAATTGAACTCATACACAAAATGTGTATGAACTATTGAATGGAAAATGAATTTGCTCTGTAAACTTTTAACTAAATCACAGTAAAATAAATAACTATACCTCACCAGTCTCCAGTACGTTCTTCAGTTCGTTTTACTGTATGATTTACACAAGCTGTAATTTTATTTTTGCTGTATGATGTAATTTTCACATACTATCAACCAACTAGTATTTACTGTGGGAAATAGGTGTGAAATCCAAATACACTAATTGCAGATTAATACAATAAAAAAAAAAAGGTAGAGCTTATCTGTTATCAGAATCCAGAGAAAAGAATCATAAAGGAATGAGGTTTTGGATCCAATCTAAAGGATTATGAAATGGAATAGGTTGGAAGATGAGGGCAATATTCCAGATCAGGAGAAGAATCAGCATAAACACACCCAGGTATAATGTAATAGTACATGTGGAGGCCATTAAGATCCCAGACCACAAAGTTCATGTCAGAGCAAAAGAAATGTTAGATACTACCCATTGTTCAAGGCCCAACTTTTCAACAAACTTTGATTAGCACTTCCCTGAGCTCCTTAATAGTTAACACTTCTTCTTGTTAGTTGCTATGAAGCCAGCTCCAACTCACAGTCCCCTTTGTATAACAGAACAGAACACTGCCCAATATTGCACCATATTCAGGATTGTTGATATGTTTTAAGTCCATTGTGGTAATTATTGCGTCAATCTACCTCATTGAGGCTTTACTTTCATTGACTTTACCAACCATAAGGTGCTCTGGTGGCATTGTGGGCTAGGCATTTGGCTGGTAACCCCCAAGGTCAGCGGTTCAAACCTACCAGCTGCTCCATGGAAGGACGATGAGGCAATCTACTTCCAGAAAGATTTACAGCCTTGAAAACACAATGGGGTCACTCACTATGAGTCCAAATCAATTTGATGGCAGTTACTTTGATTCACCAGCCAACCGAGACTCCTTTTCTAGTGATTTCTTTCCTGATAACAAGCCCAACATAAGCCAGCTGAAGTCTCACCATCTTCACGTCAGTCTCATTCTATTTACATGTACATCCCATAATAATTGCAACATATAGTGCTAATCCATGCCTCTGAACCTCTGCCCAAGTTTATACATTGATGATGATGCTTGTCTTTTCAAATAGGCTTTAAGGTTCGTGATATGCTACAATTCCATATCCCAGGGTGTGAGCATATTAACAGGAATTATTAAAGTTAAAAAGTAGTAAAGATGAATAAAAAGAAGTAGAGACCAAAGACAGGGTACTAACAGTGCTAACAGTAGAGAAGGTTGGGAGCAAAATAAGAGAAAAAAGCCTATGGATGAGAGGAAAAAACAAAGATGCTACACTATTTTGTGAGAGTAAGCTCTAGATAAAGGATGGATGGATGCAAAGCTAGACCAAGAGGTTTATTTTATAGAGAAACTTTCCTGAGACTTCAAAGGATTTGAGGTTTATTTACAGAATATGAGGGAATTCTCCCCCTAATCTTGCAATCTATCCAATAAAATAGGTGCCAATATCATCTTGTGAGAACGAAATATAGGAAAGGGAGTCTTTGTGGGGAGTTCACCAAGGAAAGTCTAGTGATGAATGCAAGACGTGATGAAAAAGTTTTCAAAAAGGCTGTGCACAACAGGTCTACATATTCTACCACAACTCTATAGTCTGCAAGCTTGTTGTTGTTGTTATGTGCCGTCGAGTCGGCCCCGACTCATAGCGACCCCTCCTTGGGTTTCCGAGGCAGTATCACTACGGAAGTAGGATTGCCCTACCTTCCTTCCGAGGAGTGGCTGGTGGGTTTGAACCGCCAGCCTTCTGGTTAGCAGTCAAGTGCTTTAGCCACTATGCTACCAGAGCTCCTTATAGTCTGCAAGCAGGAGCTGAAAACTAGGTAATGGAGGTTACTGTTAGAAGTTGATTGTGAGTTACTCTGCTTCTTTGTCTGTTTTACAGGCTGAAAGTGAATTCATTCAAAAGCAAGGTTTCATACAAATCTAAATAGCTCTTTCATAAACATCAGTAAACCTCATCTGGATACACATAAAAACAAGGACTTTCAGTTTCTGAATGGAATTCCATTTGCTTGCTTCATCAAGCTTTTTGCTGAATTGATTTGATAAAAAGTAAACTAATGGCAGGAAAAAAAATTAGACATTAGCATCTACAATTTACAAGCAAATCTTTAAATTCCTATTAAAGGTCCACCACAATTCAACATTCTTGTAAATTGGGGTTTACTGACATATCATTTTGGAAAGGAAAGAAAACTACTTCCAAGTGGACTTTTCCAAAAGAATTCTCTTTAAGGGAAGCTGAAAACACATGCTTCACTTTTTTTTTAAAAAAAACAGTGCCCTAAAAAATATTTAATTCTGATGAAAGCTCAGAAGTATCCTGATCAGACAAAGGGCACCATTTGCCCAGAGAGCAAGTTCAGAAGGCAGGAAAGGGCAGTAAGGAAGGACGAAAGCACAACGGTAATTGCAGGGAAGTGGGAAGAGTGCTGCTACATTGTGGGGATTAAAATCAATGTGACAAATCACAATGTATGTAAATTTTTTAATGGAAAACCAATTTTCTCTGCAAACTTTAAGCCAAATCACAATAAAAAGTTAAAAAAACAAAAACAAATGTATCTACATCATACCTCAGTGTAGTGGTGAAAGCATTTGACTGTTTACCAAAGGGTTAGCAGTTCAAACCCACCAGCTGCTCCACGAGAGAAAAGACAGGGAAGTCTGCTTCCACAAAGATTTGCAGCCTTGGAAACCCTGTGGGGCAGTTCTATTCTGTCCTTTGCATCACTATGAATTGGAATCAACTCAATGGCTGGTGATGGGTATGAATGTGTTTATAAACCCATTGCCAGGAAGGTGATTTCGACTTATAGTGACCCTATGGGACAGAATGGAAGTGCTCTGTGGAGTTTCCAAGTCTGTAAATCTTTGTGGAGGCAGACTGTCACATCTTTCTCCTGCTGACCTTTCGGTAAGCAGACCAAAAAAAAAAAAAAAAGTATCCTCAGAAATGAAGTCATATTCTGCCCTATTCTTGCCTGCATTTAGACTGTATGGTATTCATTATCTGTAGTGCCATGTCAGCTATTCTTCCTCACCGTTATCTCCTTATAGTAAAAAATAAATCAGAATAAAAGGTACTCTGAGACTGTATGTTGTGTGAATCATGAGCCTGTTGACAGCAAAGTAAGATACAACAAACCTACTCTAACAAAGGATAACAACTGGGCAATGAAGTATGTTTCTTCACTTAGAAGTAGTTTATGATTTGCTTATGATTAAAATTGTGGTAAAAAGTGTATTATGCATGAGAAAAATTTGCATTGTGTCTAAGGAAGAACACTGACCTTTTCAATTAACTCTACCTAACCTGAATACCAAAACAATTAAATTTCATAATTATCACTTGAAGAGTAGATTCACTTACCATGCTAAAAATACTAAAGCATGGCTATTAGTAATTCTTAGATACCTGCCAAGCCATTTACCCACTGCAGCTTTAATGTAAGTAATAAGAACTTTTCATACATCATCAGACATTTGCTAGAATTATCCTTGCTTGCTTGCCTTTAGTAACTTCCCAAAACAAGAGCTCATATTGGACCTAAACAGAGAATACAGCAACCTTTAATAGAGGTGAAATTTTACTGGGCGTTTTAATTTGTGGCATTAAAAAAAAAATCAGAAAACAAAGAATATTTCTTCCTTAGTGGAATCTAATACTACTTTCTGTGGGTGTTCAATTCACAGCAGTTTACAAGGAACTGAGAAGCATAAGATCTGGGCTCAAAAAGTGACTGCCACTCACAAGTCTTAAAACACCAAGTACTCACTTTACTAGTATGTAAAAAGAGTGGTTGAGTTCAATGATCTCTAAAGACCCATCAAGCTCTAACATTGGGTACTATAAGTAAATTCTTTTCCAATTCCTGACTACTTCATGGTGGAGCTATAAATAAAATAGTAAAATGGCATTTTTGGAATGTCAGTGTGAGAGTCTGGAGTGAACTGCCAATTTAATTAGTACGTAGCTTTTAAACCCTTAAAAATTGTAACATAAATTTAATAATCAATAAATTTAATAACTGAAGTTCCTTACTACAACAATCTAAAAACCATAAATTAATCTTTATAGGTAAGAATAAACCACATGAAACCTGTAACATTTTATTTTTTAAAAATGAACAGCTTCAGAATAGATCTAAATGTAACTTTTCCAAAAACACCAAAAAGTACAGTGTAAAGCACCTCCTCATTAAATACAAACTTTAGTTTTGTGATGCACTGCATCAACGTTTTGAATACACCTTGATGCAAAGGGAATTTTAAATTGCATCCTATTTAAAACAAACAAACAAACAACACAAAACATTAGGAACTGAAAAAGTATGACTACAACCACATCAACTGCTAAAATTCGAACAAAGGAATTTTTTTCTCTAACAAAAATTTTTTTGTATGTGTATATATATATATATACACATATACATATATATATATACATATACATATATATATATACACACATATATATATATACACACACACACACACACAACATAATAGCACTCAAGAGTTTTAATTTAGTTGTACCAAAGGCAAAATTTTATATTTAAAAAGAAAATTAAATTACAGATGCACAAAGTTTAATATACCAAAGACATGTGGTTTGATGTACTTAATGTCAATATATGGGGCAATTTTTAAGAGTTTAAAAAATGGCATTAATCATAGCTCTGTACAATATTTAAAATAAAAGGAAAATGAAAAGAACCTTTACACCGTATTTCACAAATGGTTCTAAACACAGTAAACCTATTCTCAGTTGTTCTTCTTTTGCTTTAAAATAAGCTACCTCTAAACCAGTCTAAAATGTATTGTTTCTGAATCAAATGTAAGCATTCATACTCGCAAAAATGTTTTGCAATGGGTCCTTGGCCTCAGTGAAAAGCATAAAATAGCTAAGAAGAGACTACTATTTTCAAATTCTGTGACTGGCTTCCCATAATCCCTTATCAGAAGTACTGGCAAAATATCAGATATTTAGGATCAGATTTAATTCTTTGGTATAAGCATGAAACTTACTGATAGCTTTCCAGGTTAGCTTCTTAATAAAACAATAAGTAACCCAAAGAGCATGAGACATAAAAATGTAGTATATAAAGCAGGGCAAGCAGGAGCACTAATTTAATGCTTTGTTTTGGTAACAGGAAAAGTCAACAATAAAAAAAAATTCTCTAGAGAAACTACTGCCTACTTAAGGATTTTAACATTAAACGAAAAGGTCACACTTCAAAATGATCAAACTTGTAACATGTAGCTGGAATATTTTGCTGCATTTTGGCATTTTACTGTAACTTAAGAGTATACAACGACCTGAAGACTCAACATTATCTTGGCACAATAGACTGCTTCTACTCCTTCGGGGAGGGGAAAATACCCTTTTCTTCCAAATGCCTAAACTTTACACCATAAAATAAATCAGAGAGGTATGAAATAAGGTTACAATATATCTATTATCACTTTCACATTTTTTTGTGACATAAACAACTGTATTTTTGTTTTTGGAGTTGTACAGTGTTTAATTTAGTAAGCTTAAAAGCTTGTAAAATTTTGCTTTTGATTATACTCAAAGACTGTACCTATAACCTGGGTTTTTTTCTCTTTACCCACCTCCTCATTACCTCTTCTTCAACCTACAACTTTGACTCATCCTTTCTTCATTTACTAAACTGTCAGATTTTTACCCTGGATCTTCTCCTCCAAAGATCTATGAGATAACTTTGTAAACATGTATTTATAGCCTCCAATAACCAACAGTTTTAAACCAAGACTATTGCCTAGTCACATTTCTTGTTAAAGTTTGTTACTAAAGACTTACAGCTCTAGGGGATTAACCTAATACTATCTGAAAAATAGTTCTACATACTCCAATAAATTTTACAACCCAAAACAGGAATCCAAATTATTTTTTTAAAAAATACCTCCACTGAAGAAAGGGCAACTGCAATTGTTACATCAACCCTATTAAAAGGTAAGCGACAGCAACAAAGAGATTTACTTGTATTTCTGAAGACCAAGATTTGCCATGGCAAAGTCTAAAAAACAGGCAAAGAAGGCAAGATACTAAATACCACTATCATAAAAATAATTAATTTCTATCTTTCTGCCTTCCATCTGCTGCATGAGGAAATAAAGTCAAAAAGAGAATTGTTCTGCATGGGCAACCATAAAATCTTTATGAATAGATATATTCCCTGTTATTCTTTTAGGGTATTATTTTATACATGTTTGTTTTTCTTTCTTTTTCATTTTTTTTTTTAAAAAAACCCATCAAAAATAAAAATAATGAGTTATTTAGCCTTGTGACTATTTTCAAATAAAAAGTTTCTTGAATTTCTGTGACAAGCTCTTCAAGCAATTCAACTTTTCAGACAGAGTCGTCACTCAAAAGTCCCTTTGACAAGGGATCTATCCCACGGTTACAAAGCGGCTTCCTCCTTTGTTGAACGTAAGAGTAGCTCTTTGTTCTTTCAGGATCCCAAAACGCTCATTCAAAGTCATCCCTGTCTAGAGAAAAAGAAATGAACAATTAAAAACTTGACTGTAAGCTGTATTTGCTTTGGAACAACAATGTGATCATAATAGTGTAATTATCAGTAACAATCACTAACATTTCCTGAATATTTGTGTATGACCTCATTTAAGCCTAACAAAAATCACATGAAATAGGTGGTTAGAGAAGTTAGTTAACTTTTGTAACAACAGCTCTATAGTTTAAGTCAGTCTGACTCAGAATCCACATCCCCTAACCAATGTCTACATTATATACTATATACTTTATACACAAAATATACATACATAGTATGTATACTTTATATACATACTAAAAGAAAAACCAAACTCACTGCCTCAAGTTGATTCCAAATCATAGCAACCCCTCCTTGGGTTTCCGAGGCGGTATCACTACGGAAGTAGATTGCCCATTCTTCCTTCTGATCATATATTATAACGCTCAATACAAAGAAAACAAAAATTCTCACAACTGGATCAATAAGCAACATCATGGAGAAAAGACTGAAGTTGTCAAAGACTTCACATTACTTGGTTCTACAATCAACACCAGTGGAAGCAGCAGTCAAGACATCAAAAGACATTTTGCATTGGGCAAATCTGCTGCTAAAGACCTCTTTTAAGTGCTGAAGAGCAAAGATGTCTCCTTGAAGACTAAGGTGTGCCTAACCCAAGCCATGGTATTTTCAATTGCCTCTTATGCATGTAAGAGCTGAACAATGAACAAGGAAGACCAAAGAAGAGCTGATGCTTTCAAGTTGTGGTGTTGGTGAAGAATAATGAAAGCACCATGGACTGCTAAAAGAACTAACAAACCTGTCCTGGAAGAAGTATAGCCGGAATGTTCTTTGGAAGTGAGAATGGCCAGACAGCATCTCACTTACTTTGGTCATGTTGTCAGAAGGGACCATTCTCTAGAGAAGGATATCATGCTTGGTAAAGTGGAGGGTCAATGAAAAAGGGGAAGGCCTTCAACCAAGTGAATTGATACAGTGGCTGCAACGATAGGCTCAAGTATAGCAAGGATTGTGAAGCTTGCATAGGACCAGTCAGTGCTTTGTTCTGCTGTACATAAGGTCGCTATGAGTTGGAGACAACTTGATGGTACCTAACAACAATAAGAACAATAATAATGCCTGCAAGTCATATACCAAATATGCCTCCTCTATCTGAATCACTTTTATGCTATACAGACACTGATGCCTCTAATGTGTTTTTTTTTTAGTAACAACAAACAGGAAGTGCACCCAAATCCTATTTTCATTTCTGAAAAGAAAGCAGTAACAGTGACAAGAGAAAATAAAATAAATTCGGTCATTACCAACCAATACTTCAAATCTTCAATTCCATAGATTCTTATTTTAATGGATGCAAAAAACAGCCCTGCATTTGACAGAATCCAACACCCATTCATGATAAAAATTCTCAGCAAATTAGGAGGAGAAGGCAACTCCTTCAATATGATAAAAGAGATTAAGATTACAAAAATCTACTAACATCATTCTTAACAATAAATGGTCAAATATTTAATGGTTTTTCCTTAAGCTTGGGAACAAATCAAGGACACTCCTATTCAAACTTGTATAGGACGTGCTAGTCATTATAATAAAGTGAAAAATTAAAAAAAGGTTTAAAGATTAGAAAGGAATTTGAAGAATGACATAACCACTTGCAAGGTTACAGGATACAAGGTTAATGCAAAAATCAACTGTCAACTTCTACTAAGATGGAGGAATAGGTAGACAAGATACACAGACCTTCTTCAACAAAGAAAAGAGAAAGCAATTGACAGAGATACAGAAGTTAATCCTGGAGCCTGAGCTTTCAAAGTGTACAAAGTGGATTAAGCATCAACCAGTGGAAAAATCGGAACAAACACAATGAGTACAGAGACATTTGGAGCAGTGGACTGTCAGCTACTCTGACTGGACCAAAAGCCTAATAATTTCCGAGTCATGTTGGGGGACCTGAGAGTTGACCTAAAAGATCAGCCCTGGTTGCCAAGGGCTGAAGGGACAACTGCGCTGGTGGCCTATGACTACGAAGGAAAACAGCAAGGAGGGAGACAACCTGAGCTGTGGACTTTCCACTGTCCAGAGGGTACAGCCATTTTGATTGTTTACAAGTGGCAGCCATTTTGCATTTTAAACTGACAGCATTCTCATTTGGATTCCAGGGACCTACGAGTAGGCTCCATTTGCCAGGGACACAGGGTACACTCACAACAGGGAAGGAGACAGGTGGTGACTGTGTAAGTGCCGCCAACTAGCAAAGAGAGGAGCACAGCACAGTACCCTGCTTATGTAGATAATATCCAAACAAAACTAAGAAAATAAAAATCGTGGGGAAGACACCCCAACATACAATCACCAATTAAATATAAACACAAAAATGCCTCGGAGAAAACACAATGCCTTGGAGACAACAGAGCATCACAGTCCACACAAACAAGATAAAGCAGGAGAAACATGGGACCAGGATACAGACCTAAAACACATCTCTGAGGAAGACACAGCATTGGAACTTCCTGACAAGGAATTCAAAAGAATTATACTTAGGTACCTTCACTGAATTGAGACAGATCAAGGAAAATACAGAGAAAACCCTAGAACAATTTCAAAAGACAATACAAGAACAAAATGACAAAATAAATGAAAAATTAGAAATGATACAAAATATACAGACAGAAATCCAAAAGATTAAAACTAAATTTTCAGAAATAGATTAACACACTGAACGGGAAAAGGAGTAGAACTGAATCAATGGAAGACAGAATTAGTGAGACTAAAGATAAATACCTCAATACTTCTTGGGAAAGGGATCAATCAGAAAAAAGATTAAAACAAAACAAAGAAAGCCTAGCATTCATGTGGGATACCATCAAAAGGAATAACCTACATGTAATCAGAATTCCAGAACAGGAAGAGACAAATAAAACCACAGAAAAAATTGTCAAAAATTTGTTGAAAGAGAATTTTCCTGGCATAATGAAAGATGAGAATATATCCATTCAAGGAGTCGAATGAACCCCGAACAGGATAGACCCCAAAAGAAAATCACCAAGACATATCATCATCAAACTCACCAAGTCCAAAGACAAAGAAAGAATCCTGAAAGCAGCATGGGGAAAACGAAAAGTTACCTACAAGGGACAACCAATAAGACTAAGCTCGGATTACTTGGCAGAAACCCTGCAGGCAAGAAGACAATGGGATGGTATATATAAAACCCTCAAAGAGAAACATTTCCAACCAAGAACTATATACCCAGCAAAATTGTTCCTCAAGTATGATGGTGAAATTAGGACATTTCCAGATAACAAGAAATGAAAGGATTTGTTAAAAGCAGAACAACTTTACAAGAGATGCTAAAGGAAATCCTTTGGACAGAGAACCAACAACACCAAACAACAACCGACCATTAACACACTTGAAGACATAACCCAGAAACCAACCCAGTTATGGAAGTATCCAAAGTAAACACGCCTCAAGATTGTAAGCAGGGAACCAGAGACACCAATCGACAAATGAGGACAACTACAAACCAAAAAGAGGGAAAAAACTGTGTAGTGACAGAACTTCTAAATGGTAGGGAAATCTAGACAACCTCAAGACAGAACTGACTTTTCTAAACTTGGGAAGAAAACTATAAATCACAGGGTAATCTAAAGGAAAAATTATAAACCTTCACATCAAAATAAAAAAGAGCAGCAGCAAAAATATTTAGCAAATACTAAAACAATAGCAGTGAAGAAAGTGATAACATGATTCATAAACAAAACAAGCTCAGCACAGAAAATTAAATGGAACAAAGAAACCAATACCACGAAAAAGCACATAACAAAATGACAGCAACAAATTCATACTTGTTGATAATTACCTACCTGACAAGGACTATCTTTAAGATTTATAAAAAAAAACTCCAATGCCTCAACAGCAAAGGGATTAACAATCCAATTAATAAATAGGCAGAAGAGATGAACAGACATTTCACCAAGGAGGATATTCAGACGGCTAGCAAATACATGAAGAGATGCTCAGGATCACTGGCCATCAGAGATGCAAATCAACAACGAGATACCATCTTGCCCCAGCACTGATGGCAAGGTTCAACAAGACAGAAAATAATAAATGCTGGCGGGGATGTGGAGAGATCGGGACTCTCATACACTGCTGATGGGACTGTGAAGTGATACAACCACTGTGGAAAGGAGTATGGCAATTTCTTAGAAAGGTGGAATTGGAGATACATTTGACCCAGCAATCCCATTACTAAGTATATATCCTACAGAGGTGAGAGCCACGACAGGAACAGATATATACACACCCATACTCATTGCAGCACTATTTAAAATAGCAAAACGATGGAAACAACCTATGTGCCCATTCACAAAAGAGTAAATGACCCAACTATGTTGAGTAGATGACCCAACTATGGTACATACATACAACAGAATGCTATGCAGCACCTAAAGAATAATGTAGAGTCTGCAAAACACTGCATAACATAGATGAACTTGGAGGACATTACGCTGAGTGAAGTAAGTCAATCACAGAAGGACAAATACAGTATTAGTTCATTCAAGGAAAGGTTTACATATGGAGAGAAACTTTCTTTGTTGGTTGCCAGGAGTGGGAGGGAAGGGGAGGAAAAAAAAAATTCATTGACCGATGTCACTTTAGTTTTGTGTATTTGACCGTACATAAATTTTATTTCAATAAAATGCATTTTAAAAATTATTTGCTATAGTTCACAAATTTTGCTTCCTAAACATACATTTACTGGGTACATATTATATACAGAACATTGTAAAATTCAGGAAACAATTTTCAGTCTCACTTGTATTTCTTGGTCAATGTATAATTTAGAAAAGTTAATAAACTGATCATAAAAAAAAAAATCAACTGTTAAAACCATGTGAAATACCACTTCACACAGTGTTGGTGAGTATATAGGAAAAACTGGAATACTCACACAGCGTTCCTGTGGATGTAAAA